CTACAGTAACTTTATTGAGTGGTGATTGGGGCATAAGATAGCATACTAGTTTAGGTAGCTGCTTGTAGGTTTTAACTCACCTACTATTTATCATTGACATATTTACTGTAGTGATCTGAACCTTGTATTCTAATTTTTATGGTCTGCCATAGGATGATTCCTGGTAGAAAAATCTATTCTTCATCATGAGTTAGTTGGCAATGTAAGCAAGTGCATGAACAGGTAAGTGTGTGCACCTGCCTGATCATTGTTTAATAAATGCAGACAAAGCTATTTACACTGCAAAACTGAATTGATTTGAAATGATAAATAAATTTAATAAATAAACAAAATATTTACAAAGTGACTGGATCTTGAACAAAAGCGTTTTGTGTTAGACTTTACAAAATATGATTTTTGTATTTTGATAAAATGATTGGCCAAATATAATGCAATTTCTTCTACATATGTTTCAGTGCAGAACTAAATTGTGCCTCTTTCAAATCTGTATCTATATCATTTAGTCAATTGTACAGAATGAATAGGCCACTGATTTACAAAATATTTTACAGGTCTTATAATGCTCACTTTGCCACTGAATTTATGAACTACCATACAATACTCTTGTGGTTTAGAGTGGTTTAGAGCATCAGTACTATTGCATGGTATGACTCTTCTTAGAATGCACCATTTGAGATTCAAATTAAGTTTTCATCTGCATGCTTTCCTAGGTAAATAATCTCATATATGTATAAATTGCCTAATGGAACAAAGGCCAGTTTCTTGATGCATTCCTCATTTCTTCAGGAAATTTCTGATGCATGAAGCGTAGAAAGTAGACAGTGTCCTCCTTTGATTGGAATACTATATCTCAGCATATTTTAAGATCTAAATAGGAATCTTACAGATAAAGAATAGCATATGCCAGGTAGAACATCTATTGCAGAGGTACACTTTAATTTAAGCCATCTTTGCCTTGATTCCCACACACTAGGTTATAGTGCAAAATTCAAAATAAGCAAATACATTGATCATCTTTATTTTGGATTTTTGGATTTACTGCCCCTATGCAGCACAGCTTAGTGTTCAACATGTTATCCCCTTCACCCTCAATTTTCCTTTGCTTAGGGCTGCCAAATAACTATCACGCTTACTAGATTAAAACAAACAATATGATTCTTTCCACCACAGGTTGAAATTAAGCCCATGTGATCTAGTGCTGGCCATCCGATGGTGTCACTTTACCACATAAGCCTACTGATGATGTTACCTAGTCTGATAATGAAACATTTGGGAACTAAATGGAAACAAGCTCAAAAGAGTAAACCATTGCCAAAATCTAACACCTGAGCTACAGATATTTTCTATTATTTCACATAAACTTATTTTCAAAGGCAGTATTAAAAAAGGCTAGTTAAAAGAGAAAAATTCCTGAGAAATCATGAATTGTATAAGAATCATTGGGAGTATTTTCAGTTTAATTATCAAACCTCAGTCCCCCTGAGCAGGAATAGAATGAATATTTTTTTAGTGACAAACATGAGGGCAGTAGCAGAAAGGAATAGGATTGAATCACATTGTCCAATGTATTCCAGAAAATCCAGTGTTAATAGGAAAAAGAGCAATGAGAAACATCTTTAGATAGGATGTAACTATGAGAAAGGAAGAGATCTTTATGAATGGCCACCCTATTACAGGCAACACAATGAAGCAGCTCCAGAGTTCAAATACAAGTATGCAAGTAATTCTCTAAATAAGATTGTTTTAGAGACAAAAACTGGACTTTTGACCTTTTTATGTAGACAGCGAAATGGAAGACTGCCTAATATCTACAACATAATACAAAGCTTTCAAGAAGCCTTTCTGTCATTCTGATAGTTTTCCTACAAAATATTTGTTATATACTTCAAATGGATGGTCACTTACTATTCAAATCCATCTGCACATTGGCCTGGAGCCTAACTCCTGTTTTATGAATAGAAGAGAACTCCATTCATGGAATGAGGCTGTTCTCCCTCCCCTGCTGTTGCTTCCTGCCCCCACTACATCCCCCAAATTATTCCAGATGAATGAGGGAGCATCAGGAACCAAAAGTGCATGGCTTTTGGACAAAAAGACAATGTCCAAACCTGAGGGAGCAAGAAGTGCTTTTCTTTGGCAACAACTCAGTTGTGATGTTTAAATCTTTCCAGCTTTTAAAAATAGCTATTAAAAAAAACAACTGCTTACTCCAAAATCATAGTACAAGTTATTCCCTGCTTCCATCATTACTGCATTCTTTAATGAACATTTTCAATATTTTACTTCTTGATCTCCTCCTTCCCCCTCTCCAAACCTAAGTAGTATAATTATCTGGTTACTTTTGGCATGTCAATATTATGTAGGAACAAGTTAACACTAAAACCCTACAGGCTGATTCTCCCTGCTATGACTGTCTTCTTCCAATCATGAGTCAGCAACTGCAAGTTTGTTCCCAGATTCCTTTTCCACAGAAGATCCCTATCTAAAATTGCTATTTAGCCTGAAGGAAGTTTCAACTGGCACAAAACTGGCACAAAAATTCTGGAGACAAAGGTTGGCTAGGTGTGACCTGGAAGAAAAGTGTTATTTTCTCCTTGTCTGTGGTAATCTTTCCACCTTCCAGAATTTCTGGACGTAGCTTCTAGGAAAAGAAAAAAAAAAGTTTGTTCCAACATTGAGAGATTTAGAATGATCAAGTTATAAGTCCAGATTAACATAGATAGCTTAGTTGGATGAGAGACATCATAGAAAATACTATATTGAGAGAGCAGTATCTTGCAGTCATGCCTTTTAAAAACAATATTTTTCTGACGTATTAATAGAGAGGATGTTTGTTATCATCTGATTATATTTCAAGGTAGACAGTCTATGAAATGTCTCATTAATTTGAGAAGTCCACTTGGAAGAGACGGGGAAAAGTCTTATTCTAGCATGGACAAAATTCTGGAAGATGAACAGAAAAATTGTCTAATATAATGAATATTGTCTAGACTCTAGATGTTTCAATAGGAGCAGAATGCCACTTATTTCCTGAATGTTATGAAAGTCTGGAGAAACATATGTAGTATATATTTGTAGTGAACTACACTGATTAACTATTTGCTTCTAGGCCCAATGCAAAGTTTTATTGTTAACATATAAGCCTCTAAACAGCTTTTATAAATACTTAGTTGCTTTGAAGCAAGATGAGTGGCAAATAAGTCAAATAAATAAATATATGCTTACTTACCTACTCAATGTATGTGAGCCCAGCTTGTAAGATTCCTTGAGGAGTCTAGCATAAAAAACAAGAACCATTTTTATTGCAGAAATCTATGCCTGTGCTGTAAACTGTGAAAATTGCTATAAAAAAGCAAATACTTTTGAATATTAGTGACTTAATAGAAATAGTACTTAGACTTATACACCACTCCATAGTGTTTTACAACCCTCTCTAAGTAGTTTACAAAGTCAACATCTTGTGCCCAACAATCTAAGCCCTCATTTTACTGACCTTGGAAGGACAAAAGCTAAGTCAACCTTGAGCCTGTCAGGATTTAATTGCTGGCTGTGGGCAGAGTTTGCCTGCAATACTGCATTCTAACCACTGTACCACTAATGGCTCATGACTTACATAGGCACACATCTGCAATTTTCTTGCATGGTATACACATGATCTTCTGGGATTTTTTTCATGCTTCCAGTCTAACTTATTGCAGCAGATTTCCTAAGTAATCCCTCAGTCAAGTACAGATCAAAGTCAACCCTGGTACTTCCCATTACTATGGGTTTTTTTTTCTGATATGGTAGCCTATTGTTTCTTGTATAAATTATTTTTAAGATTAAAAATATAAATGTTTAGAAATTTCATGTTTATATTACATGTAAATATTAATTTGTTTTAGAAATAGTCTGAAATATTCAAAAGGTCTGCAGGTTTATTGCAAGGCATTGGAATAAAATAAGATAAGTAAATGGTAATTCCCCTCCATTCCCTAGGTTTATAACCTTGATTATTTTTAGGAAAAAGAAAATCCTTACTCTGTGAAGCATGAAAAAGATTTTGCAATGGGAAATACATAGGAAATTATAAAGAAATATCTCAGTGCACCATCTCGCCTGGGATAATTCCTCCTACTTTTTCTTAAATGCCTATTGCCAATGGAATTACAATATGTTCCAATATTTTCTTATTCAAGAATATTTTTGTGTAGAAGATCACACACAGACTAATTACAAATGAAGCATTTGGATATTACTGTTCATGGATCCTCCATAAGGATCCTTAAGAGAGAAGCAGTTGTTTTTATTTCTTGGAAATGTTTCATATATCCAGTAAATTCGGTCTTTCTTTGTAAGCTGTTTTTTATTATGTACCATTTAGACATAGAGTAGGGTGGTGCCACTGGGATGTTATGAGCAGATTTTATTTTTTTCATGGCAATCTTTCCATGCTCTATTCATTGCATGGGTATCAAACTCATGTCGTCATGGTGACGTCACGTGATGTTGGGACTTTTCCCCCCTTCACTAAACCAGGCGTAGGTGTGGCCAGTGCGTGACCATGGGCCAGAAGTTTGATAGCCTTGCTCTATTGCAACATGACCCAATGGATTAGGGAACTTTTTTCAATGGTAGGTTGTGTGTGGCTCTTGGTGCTAGGGGAAAGGATGATTGTCAAAAGTAGAATGGAAACATGTTCTGTGAGTATTGTTTACCTCAACATTATTCAGAAAAAAATGAGACCTTTTAAAATGGGATTAAACTCTGTTGAGCCCCATAATATGTATAACTGTTCTACCTGAGAATATTGGGAGTTGGAGTCCAACAATATTTGGAGAGTCACAGGTTGTACATAGATAAGACCAAATTATTCTACTGAACCAATATAGACAAGACATTTACAATCAGGTCTTTCTAAACAAGCAGCCATACCACCAGGTCACACTACTTCCATGAATAGTTAACAAACTATTCAACTGAATGTTCAGAAGAAGCCTAAAAAATAGAGAACACTCTATTTTTTAGGCTTCTTCTGAACATTCAATTGTGCTAGAAAAAAGGTAAAAGCATTTTTTTTATATATATAAAGACAGTCCTGCAGAAGTTCATGCCTTTTCCAATATCTTCCTCGGGCAGATGATGCAGTTTCAAAAGAACACTCAACTTATGTGTGGCATATGAATTACCAATTAAAGCTGACATCATTATTAACATTGATAGTGAAATAACCAGTCTTGGAAGAGAAGCCACTATCTAGAGAAAATGCTAACATCACCAAGTTTTTAGAAAACAATCCATATCACTAGTACAATCTCTAGTTTGACTACTGTGTTGGCACCCAAGACTGTTTTGTGAAGACTTGGCTTGCAATTGGCAGATCAGAAGCAAGAGACTTTAAAAAACCAATAATAATTGTGGCTGATGAAAGAAAAAATGAAGAGAACTTTAGGACTTTATTAAAATGACAAAAAAGGAAACAGCTGAATTAAACCAGTTCATAATATATAGCCAAAATAATGTACATTTCCATTAAATTTTCAATAAATTTTTATTCAATAAAATCAAGAATAAAAATGCTATGATTATGGGAAATACCTGTTTGAAAAGGCTGACTAACCTTATAAAAAAACCTCTCCTGTCAAAAGTTCCCAATTTATTTATTAACTTATAAGTGTTTCCAGGAGATCTAGAATGTAAAATTAAATAGTGTAACTTTGAACTCTTCTAACAAATAGAACCCAAAATAGATCATTTACATTATTATGATGTTTTAATTTTTAGAAACAAAATTATTCTTGGGCTTAATGATATAAATAGTTTATTACAAAGAGTTCCTTTGATTTTGGATTAGGCCTATATTTTTCTGTTAGCTTGGATCAGATGGAGGAAATTCAGTTCATTGTTTCAGAAATAAACTATGTCTATTATTAATCATGATAATGTAATCATTGCATAATATGTTTGATGCACCTTTTGTTGTAAAATACTATTATGTATGTACATTTCTTAATTTTATAGAACTTGTATACATGGACAAAATATTTTTTATTTAGCATTTCCTGGTTATCATAAAATGTATTTATATTTTACTGAATGTATCATATTCAATCTAAATACCATTACGCCTTTGAAGTTAAAGCATACACAGTTTCTTTGGCTGCGTGTGTGCAGGTGTATCTATGGACACATACACTATTTCTCTTTTTCGCAATTAAATATATTCAAAAAAGACTGCTAGAGAACTGGTAGAAGGAAACTAAAGAAAATATGAGGCAATCTGGCATTTTACAATATATGGTACATCTTCAAACTTAACTTGCCTTGTTTTAAATAATAGTTGGAATGATAACAATATTTGAAAATTCTTGAACCAGGGCTCCCCCAAATGCTTTCATAAACTTGACTGTGGCCACTGCCAAAAACTAAAGATGCAGAGCTAATTTTCCGCAATAAATTTGTCTACCGTCTTCTTGCTTTAAAGCTTCTCTTTTTCTGTCAGTAGCTTCATCCTGTTCACAGTCCTTCTGTTGGTATCTTTTTTAGCTGAATTTAAATCCGAAGAAGTGCTATTTTTGGTAAATGCTGTGAAGAAGAAGAAGGAGAATAAGAAGGAGAAAGAGAAGGAGGCTTATATACCTCTCTTTACAGTCCTCTCTAAGTGGTTTACAGAGTCAGCACATTTCCCCCAACAATCTGGGTCCTCACAACATCTTTAAATGAAATGAACCCAAACAATGTCATCCAGGCAAAGTTAAATATCCTATTTGAATTACGGTAATACATTATCCCTGGAGTTAAATCATAAACTATAGAATCTTATTTAAATGAATGCAACTATACCAAATCTTGATTTGTTTCAGAGCATAGTTCTTGCTATTTACAATCTTGAAAGCCCTAAACCAATTTATAGCTCAACCATGAACTTTCTGGAAGAGATTATATCTAGAGGCCATTTTGTGTAAGATTTCTGTTCTCAGGGGTGACAGAAATTAATAATCTGAGACTTTGTAGAAGAGTGATAGTAGCTGATGGTAGCATCTTTGCAGACTAATATATTAAAAAGGATAAGATCTTATGAACTACAGTTAATCTAAATTATCCAATGGTAATCCAAATTATCATTGATTTGAGTTGAGGTTGAAACTATTGTGGTATCCAACTCTGAACTTCTAGACTGCTGCTAAACATTTTTACTTTTGATTTGATTTTTATTAGTGATTGAGGTTCTATTGATGCACTACTAAATACACTGTTGCTTAATCACATCTGTTTATAATACTTGACATCCTTAATTATTGCAAAAGTCAGAAAAGGGGATTTTATCTTATTTAGTATGTTAACAAGTAATTATCCATTCTTTTAGTATAAAGCTTTATCAACCAAGAATTTCTGGTAGTTTACAATCAACTGAAATATCAATGTAATATTTGCCCAATTAAAGTAATTATATCTGCATAAGTTTTAGCACAGAAGTTTCTATACAATTAATATTTTTTTTCTTCCAAGCATTTTCCAGCAAGTACGGAGTCTACATTTTTTGCCCCATTAATGGAAGGTTGATCTATTAGTTGTGACAGGAATTGACTGACCACCTTGTCATACCAGCTTGACTCTGTGATCTATTAATAGAATGATGTTTTGTAAAATTGAAATCACCACTCTCACTCTCTACCCTGATATGCTGAAATGATATTTGAGATCCTACAGCAACAGGCTGTTGAAGAGAATACTGTTGCCCAGGAGATATCCTTTTATGTTGATAGGCTTGATAGACTTATGTTTTAGTATTAGTAAAAAGAATTCTCTGTGGAAGTTGCTTGTACCCTATAAAAAGGTGACAGCTTTGCAATTTAAAGAGAATCTGTTGATAGTAACTTTCACATCAAACTTTCTAAAGGATGGGCATGAGAATACCCATGGACAACATGATTGCTCCAGGTTGGCTGGCTGATAGGATTACTGGGACCTATTTCAAAGAGTTACCATAATAAAACAAAATGTCTTTATAAGAAATCAAGCTGCATCTGTTACTAGCTCATACATAGCTTTGAAAACCTGTTGAAAGGAAAGGTATTATTACGGGGCTTGCATTCCCTAAAGGTTTCCCCTAACTCTTCAAATTTACCAAATTTTACATCATATTAGACAAATTAACAAATCAATTTCCATCCTCTTGATCCCTGGCCAAATACAAATAGCTATAAGATATGGACTTCACCTCCCTATGGAACTGATGTTGCCTACAAAGTAACTAACTTAATTTAGGCTTTCTTAATGAAGCATAAAATACTACAGATGGAAAGATAATAACTCTGAAGAGCAGGAATCCCACCTCAGCTGTAATTGAGCATTGACAACCTCATGCTTTTTTTATATATAGAAGCAGGTATAGAAAGAAGCTGTCTATATGTACTCAGGTCAATTGTAGAATGAAAGCCAACTGAATTATACATGGCAAACAAGTAAGTTACCTGGCTACCTTGCATTTCTGCAGTTTTTACAGGTATCATCCATAAAGGCACGATGAACACAGTCAATGGAGAACTAACCAATTCTGGCTTTCCAGTGCTTTTCTGTTATATATGTATAATGTATAATTATATATGTATAATCAATTTCATCATATATATGTAGAATAGAATAGAATAGAATAGAATAGAATAGAATAGAATAGAATA